CCTGCGCGGCAGCTCGGGCCCGGCGCCCGCGCCGCCGGCCCGCCGGGCCCGGCCCAAGTCCACATCCGACGCCTGCCTGGAGCAGTGGCGGGTGCTGGAGCCGGGCGATGCGCAGGACTGGACCGTGTCACTGCTGTCGCAGAGCCGCAACCGGCAGCCCCTGGTGCTGGGCGACAACTGCTTCGCCGACCTGGTGGAGAACTGGATGGACCTGCCGGAGGTGGGCGCCGAGCCGCGGCGCCTGCCCGCCGCCGAGCCCCCCCGCTGGCTCGGCAAGCCCCACGGCTTCCTGCTCAACCTCTCGGGCAACGTGCGCCGCAAGCTGGCCAGCATGGCCCGGCCCCGGGCGGCCGACGGAGCCCGCCGCGACGCCTCCAAGCGCCTCTCGTGCCCGCTGGCCCTAGGCGCCCAGCCCAAGGGCACCTACTTCCACCAGTCCCACAACAACCTGGCGCAGCTGGCCACGGACTTCAACCGCTTCACGGCCCTCATGAACAGCCGCAGCCGCCAGCCCATCATCTGCAACGACGTGATCGGCTACATTTAGCGCTGCCCGTGGCCCCCTCGCCCCCGCTGTAAATAAACCTCCTTTTTGTACGGTTCAGCCGCCGCCAGCGCCGCTTTGTGGGGGGCAAGGGCTCCCCCGCGGTGCGGCCGCCCCGGCTCCCGGCAGGAGGGACGAGGGTGACTGGATTTACTGGGCGCGCCGGCGGCATGGAGCGGTGTGACAGCGTTTGCAGCCAGGGACCCCGCGCGGGAGCCCACCCGGCACCTTTATTAGCAGGGGAGCGGGCGCCGCGCCGGGGCCGCCCCGCGCCGGGCTCAGGGCAGGGAGCAGAGGAGCGGGGGGCAGCCGCCGCCGTCCCGCTCGCCCTCTCCCTCGCACACGTAGTGCAGCTCCAGCTGCCGCCGCCGCGGCTCGCCGGCCGCCTCCAGGCTCTCCGACAGCCTGCGGAGCGCCAAGCACAGAGAGAGGCTTGAGGGGGGCGGCCCGGCTGCTGCCCCCAGGCCTTTGGGCACGGGGGGGCATCCGGGTGGCCCCCGCAAGGAGCAGGGTGCCCCTTTCCGCGCGGGGTCGCGCCGTGGGAAGCGCGCCCGGCAGGATGTTTATCCCGCGGCGGCCCCGCAGCTGGAGCCGCTCAGCGCCCGGCGGGAGAGGGGGGGGGCGCGGGGGTCTGACCCACCTCAGCGCCCGCTGCCGCGCCCGCGTCGCCTCGTCGGCCGCGCCGTCGTAGAGCACCGTGTAGCCGTGCAGGAGCATGGCGACGGGCCGGCCGTGCGCGCCCTGCGAGGGGCAGGCGTGAGGGCCGGCGAGCGGGGCCCGCGCCCGGCGCGCGCCGCTGCACTCGCCTCCAGCCACTCGAGCAGCTCCCGCAGCGTCATCTCGCGCCCGTCGGCGCCCGCCGCCTGCACCTCCAGCCGCTCCCAGCAGCTCCACTCCCGCTGGCCGTACTGCGGGGGGGACAGCGGGTTCGGCGCCGGCTCCGAGCGCGGAGGTGCCGCGGAGACGGCGCGGGGCACGGCCACCCCCTCGCTGCCCCCAGGGCGACCACGGCCGCCCCCCAGCACAAAGCCCCATTGAAGCGCTGCCCGGCCCCACGCAACGGGCCGCTTCCTTGCTCCGCTCAGCCCCGAGGGGGTCCCCGAGCTGCTGGCCTCAACCTCAGCCCCGGCGGAGGCAGCAGCGCTCGGAGGGCCAACAGACGAGGGCTGCGGGGCCGTGCGCCAGCTGGCCCGGCCACGCTGCCATCTGCCCTGGCGGCGGGGTGCTCGCACCTGGCTGCGCTCACCTCCTGCCACCTCCTGCCACCTCCTGCCACCTCCTGTCACCTCCTGCCCTCGCTACCTAACGGGAGCCAGGCGGGCAGGGGCTTAACCCCGCGCGGGCCGCGGCGCCGCCAGCTGCACGGGCACGGGAGGCGTCGCGCGGGGCCGCGGCGGGACGCGAGGGACGTGGCGGAGCGGAGGGGCCGGACTGCGCCATGGGGCACGGCAGCGGCCCCCGCCACGACGCCACGGGCAGCACCGGCGCCACGCAAGCCGCGGGGCAGGGGGTGCCCTGCGCCTCGGCAGCCCTCGCCCGGGCCGCTTGTGCCCCCCGGCGGGCAGCAGGAGCTGCCATGGGGCCCACGGCCGGGCAGGGCTGTGGGGCGCGGGCGCGGCGAGGTCCTTGGAGCCGGAGTCGGAGCGGAGGCGTCGCAGGCGCCTCCCCTCCCCCTCTTCCTGCCCCCGGCCCTGGGCCCCCCGGGCCAATCTGGTTCCAATCGGCGCTTCCTGCCGCACAGGAAGGGCTGCCTCGCACGCCATAAACCCCCAGACAAAGAGGCCTCTATCGCCCAGACGGTCCCAATCTGGGCCTGCCCCCCGCCCCCCGCCGCGGCTCCGCTTTCGCTCGCCCCCGCGGGGCCGCGCGGGACCCCCGGCCCCC